CAACTGCGTGAAACACACAGGTGTATAAAAATACAACTGCGTGAAACACACATGTGTATAAAACTACAACTGCGTGAAACACAGAGTGGTATAAAAATACAACTGCGTGAAACACACAGTAGTATAAAACTTCAACTGCGTGAAACACACAGTAGTATGAAACTTCAACTGCGTGAAATACACAGCAGTATGAAAACTCGGCTGCGTGAAACACACAAACTTCACGCATGCGTGGAGTGTACGGGAGTGATTCACGCAATGGTGCGAATAGTCACGGCCTTTTCGAAAATATCTCTGAAACTAAGGAAGATGGCGAATTTTTACGAAAATTTGGGGGAAAGGGGGGGGGCGTGCATTCAGAATTCAAAGCCAAAAAAACTCGAGTTGGTGAGTTTTTCAAAAATATCTAATTGATGTTGATTTATTTACTGGTTACCGCAAGGCCAAAAAAGAGTAACCTTCTTCATTAATCCACCCACGGTCAATAATCCCCACATTAGGTTTATGAGGAAACTTGGTGCTGCCCTCTGTTCGGGTCACCAATATCAGAATCCATAATCTGGAGAAGAATTCGCACTCCTAACAGTGCTTGGGGATAAAGCCATTTGAAATAGAAGAACTGTTAGGTCCTGCTGTATTCGTATTTCCAACTCTGTCATCTCTGTTATCTCTTACGTTATTCTTCATCTGAAATGAATGATCATCGATGACCGATTTCATGATCCAAGTTTCAGAAGGCCGTGTTGACTCCAGGTCAAATTGGCATGATGCTGAGTTCCTTCATGTGGGGCTATGCAGTGGCTCAGGTCCCGTTAGCTCACTTGGTGAGGATATGGAGCGCCAAAAAGGTTTTAGGAATTGGTCTACTGATAAATGGACTTATCAGTATTTCAACTCCAATTATCTTTGATGAAGGTGGCTGGATGTATCTATGTGCAAGCAGAGTTGTCATGGGCCTCTGTCAGGCCTGTCTCCCATCCTGCTGCCACACTGTTTTATCTAAATGGGTACCTCTCACCGAACGTGGACGCCTGAGTAATGATTTCTTTGGTGTTCTGTTCCTTCTGATTTTTAGGTATTAATACTTATTCTGGGCAATCTCTTCAGGTTCTGCGACCTTATCTGGATCAGAACTGGGGGCGATAGTTTCACTGCCAATAACTGGGGCTCTGATTGACGCCGCTGGATGGAGAAGTCCATCTTACGTCTTTGGTGCTGCTGCTCTCATTTGGTCAGCCATCTTCTTCCTCATTGGGTCAGATTCACCAGCTACAGCTTCTGGAAAGTCCTGTTGCGGGATCAGTGACGCTGAGAAAAAGTATATCGAGAGCAGTCTTGGAGTTTCGGAGGGGGGAACAGCGGCCGTTGGCAAAAAGGTGAGTTTCCTGCATTGTGAATATATTAGATAGGCAGATAGATAGAAGCAATTCATTATTCCCCTGCGATACAAAGGATCCCCTAAGTGAAAACCAAAATAAAACAACCATTACATATTTATTCATCTATTATTAATTTTATTTTGGATTCTGCTGGTTTGTTGTTTTTGAAAAAGTTATTCATGTGGCATTTTTTTCTTCTACTCTGTATACGTCTCACTATCATTCACGGATTTTTCATTACTCAGCATAATGAAAGAGTTAAAATTCAGAAAATATTTACGGGCAAGGGATTTTAGAAGGAAGCAGGTGGACCTTTCGTCTAGCTGAATAGATTGACTCTTAATCAGGGCTCTTGGTATTCGCTTCGAGAGTCGGTGTTATATACTGAAATGATTCGATAGTTAATGAGAAGAAATAAGTCGACGTTAACGTTGATGTCAAGTTGCTCTTGTCTTCTTGTATATCAATTTTCTTGTATTTATTGTTTCGAAGAGTTCGAAGACACCTTGGCTGGCCATATTAACGAGCCCACCATTCTGGGCACTTCTTATCGCGCATTGTGGACAGAAGTGGGGGTATTACATGCTACTCACTGAAATACCGATTTACATGGATGGTGCTCTCGGATTCAATATCAAAGAGGTGAGTGAGGAGAATTGATCCTACACTGAATTTTCATATTATTAAGACCGGATGCAGATAACATACTATCTGTCAAAAAGTATTGAACATGGGCGAAAGACTAAATTTGATGATGATCAAGATTATGAATATATGATTGGAGATGATTGGAGATCATTTCTTTCTGTAACAGAATGGAGTGAAATCAGCGATTCCATACATAGTGCTGTTACTCCTGACGTTTCTTACGAGTTGTCTGTCAGACTGGGGTGAGAAGAAAGGAGTATCACGAGGATTATTACGCAAATTGTGCAATACTGTCGGCCACTGGGGACCAGCACTGGCACTTGTTGGCCTTTGCTTCGTATCACCAGGGGATACGACCCTATCAGTTGTACTGTTGGTTGTCGCTGTTGGAATGAACGCCGGGGCTATGTGTGGATTCCAAATAAATCATCTGGATCTGAGTCTTGAATATGCTGGACTACTTATGTCAATCACCAATGGTATGGGATCAGCTGTCGGGTTATTGTCGCCTCTGGTTGTTGGACTGATTGTCACTGATTCGGTGAGCATAATTTTCATGATCTTCGATTATGAATTCAGTAGTGAAGTGGCGAAAGGAGATGATCCCAAAACAATTGGGCTTATTATCTTGCCAATGTCTTTCCAAGAGCGGAGTTTAGAAGAATTCAAGAGACCTTCCTTTACTGGGAATTTCTCAACTCATCTCCATACTTCATTTGGCTACTGAACTCCGTGTGAAAGCTCTGAGAAATTTCTCCAGATTTGAAATCACATGTATCCCAATAATAATGAATGTTATCTTTTTCAGAAACGTACAGACCAGTGGCAGACGGTGTTCCTCATGACAGCAGGAATTTATTTCGTGGGCAATTTGATATTCATTACGCTTGGAAGTGGTAAGACTCAATGGTGGGATAATAGTGAAGATTCTGACGAGTGTGATAAGAAAGAGTCTTGGAGGCCCCGAAAATCGTCCATTGCTGTTAGTGATGCTAAGGTACCTTAGGACTACTTTTTTTAATTAATGAACGTAAGTGAGAAAGACTGCTGAAACTTCAAAGTGCAAAAAAGTAACTTTCTGTAATGGAAAAGTGAGGTGATTTATGTAATTTAGTATTATTCATTGTAGGCAGTGCACCAAGAAGATTTCAATGTATAATGAAGATAAAGTCACTGTTAATTATAATGATTATAGAGAAGTAGTTCTTTTATTCAACCCTGTATGATACCGTATGTCTAGGGGCTTATGTTTTTCCTTCGCGAATTTTCATCAGAATCAATTATTCACAATTACTCTCATTGCACTAAGTGACAGGATTGATGAGAACAATGATTCTCAATTCATCAAGAGTTCAATTGTGATATTTCAATGAGCGATTCGTTAATTTCGAAATCCCTATGCTCGCTGAATTAAATTTCCATCATAATAATAACTCAAATCTTAGTAATCACAGGAATTTCAGTGTTGCTCGGGCAGAATGTAAAACAGTAATTACGTAATTTCTTAAAGCCCTGAAATTTATATCCTTTACCTCTTGCCTTCAATTTGCGTTACTTTCCAACAAAAATAGTCAATCGTATGCATGATCTTTTTTTACAATTTCAATCGACGATTTCCAAGAATTTTCTCGAATGTCTAGAATGTCGCAAATCCCTAAAATAAACGTTTTCCTGTGTCCGGTATTCCTCGGCGGGGATTTATCGCTGATCGTCGATCGTGCGATGATAAAAATTCAAATTGAAAATTCAAGGCTATCAACTGTTAATGAAAGGTGATGATTTGATATCAGTGGGGGCAGTCGGAATGACGATTGGCGGCTGTAATATTTCCGGTCTCAGATAAATCTTGCACACCTTGGCCGGTATCAGAGGAGGAAAAGAAACGGGAGCCATTTCGACGGGGTTTACCTCCCAATCGGTTCAAACATATGTTCCATGGATGTGACTGAGTTAACAAGGAGAGGGAAACATGGAAAATTTCAAAGAAGACGGTGAGACCGTCAAGGATGTGCGCTCTCGAGGTCTGTTTGAAAACTATTATCAATTGACGAAAATAATTATTGCATAACTGATTATTGAATTATCCCGATGGATGACGCGCGGGAGCTGAAAATACCACGTGGAATTTACCTCTACAACCTATCGTATATTTACTAGATAATTATATAATTATACAATTTTATCAACAGGACTGGGGGTTAGGCATTGTCAATGCATCATGCTTTCCCTGGGGTATGCAATCGCCTATATGATTAGAACCTGTCTCTCGCTGATAGTTGTCGGGATCCGAGAAGAGCAAAAAAATGTGAGTGTAGTATAATCTGTCATCTCTCTTATCTCCTTAGGTGTTTTTAGTTTAGCCTGAACCAATATCATTAATGGATTACTATTTGGGCCATAATAGAATCATACATATATATACGTATTATGAAGCAGGGATGCTATATGCAATTATTTTACCCTCAATCCGAGGAGGGAATTGACCATTGAGTCAAGCATGAACCAAGCGTGGATCAACCATGGCTAATTCTCGGTTTGTAACACTAATTCGAGCTTGGTCTTTTGTTCAATCTAAGCCAATTCACGCTTTAGTATTACAAGGCACCAATGGTAAGAGGGAAGTACTTTTACGAGTCAGAAGACGGCGCAAACGGCGTTGAAAATTCGCCAAACTGACCCGGGGCAGTGTCTATGAGCATGGTAGAATGTTTCTCTACCATTATTATTTATTTATTTCCATTTATTTATATTTTATTTATATTTATATTTTTACTTTTCACGTACAAAATCCAAAAAATCACGGGAACCTGCAATCCCGATAGGGGGGACCCCTGACCTTTGCGTTCGATGGGTTCCATTACCTCTTAGCCAAAAAACTGATTCTTAGCGAACACATGGGTTAGGGTCGGATGGCTCGGGACTTCTAGTTTGGACGTTACGAGACTAACCTTATTTTTCTGGTGTTGTGTGTTACCGGAAAATTCTGACGATATCGAGACCTACCGAATTTTCGACACCCGTTTATCTGAAGCGGACATATATTTTGGGTTCCAGACTACGGTGAGTGGAGAGCTGAACAGTTTCCAAGTTAATTTGTGTTTATTAAGAATTAATTTTTCGTTATTTGATAAGACACTTGGCGTATGGCGGTTTTCATGCCATTTTAATTAGTTCTATTCTCCTTTCGATTTCTTGCCCCTTATCCGGCGGAATTGTTTTGTTTCTCGATTTCAGTTATTTCGATTTCGCCTACTTTTAGATTTTCGAGGAATTGGATAATTTGTTTTGAAATACGTAATAAAATTCAGTGACATTTTCTCTTAATTGTATAACTCTCGTTTCATCTAGCTACACTGTTAAAAAATTACATTTTGGATTTCAAGTGAAAAAGCTTGACATTTTTAACGACAAAATTCCATAAAATTTCTGTAGAATTCTTCATTGACGAATCAGTTAATTTCTTGAATATTCAAGTAATTGTCGATTTTCAGGTGCATATGGCACCGAAAAACCTTGAAATTATTGAAAATTTAGGCAATAACTTCTCTGAATTTTCAATCTATTGAAAATTGAATGGTATGTGATTGAACTAGTGATATATTTTGTCTTTGATTACTGTCGCTGATCTAAACATGGACCAAAAGAATTGAAATAATTTATTAAATCACAATTTATCGAAAGATATTCTGTATGAGTCCGTTCACTGACAGAGTGGAGTAAAATCGGCATTACCATACATCGCACTGAGTCTTTTGACGCTACCATCAAGTTATCTCTCAGAATGGAGTGAGAAGAGGGGATTATCACGTGGACTAGTCCGCAAAATTTGGAATACAATTGGCCAGTGGGGAACTGGACTTGCAGTTCTTGGTATCTCCTTTGTATCATCTAGTAATACGACACTAGCCGTGGTACTGTTGGTCGTCTGTGTTTCGTTTGACGCGGCGAGTAATTGTGCCTATCTAATTAATCATATGGATCTGAGTCCCAGATATGCGGGAGTGTTGGTGGCTATTACGAGGACAGCTGCGATGGTCGTTTCTGTACTGGCGCCTCTGATTGTAGGATTGATTGTCACCGATTTGGTGAGCATTTTAGTCGTGCTTCCACATGATGAAATAATTGATGTTTTGAGAGAATTTCCTGAATTTGATGCCATATTTTTAAAAAATGCTAATAACTTTTTCTCCTTGCAGTCAAATGTTGCTCAGTGGCAAACAGTCTTCTTCATAACAGCAGGAATTTATTTCCTGGGGAATATAATATTCATTTTATTCGGAAGTGCTGAGACCCAATCCTGGGATTCATGAAGGTTTTCAGACCTGATTTGTACCCGTGGAACAGCCTCACACTACCCCCACTCTTCATCATTTTGAGGTAGTGTGCGTGCGCAGCCGGACCTTTTTTATGGCACTCTAATACGTCGAGAGCTTCCTACTCCTCTCACACCGATATGTCGATGGTCAATTGTTGGTCGATCGATGATCGATCAATCGAACCGTGATCGACTGGCACTCGACTGCATGAATAACTCGAATCCCCTATCGAGAGATCCGTCAGGGAAAATAATCAAATAATATAGAACAATGTTTTTTCCTTCTTCTTGTATTTTTGACCAGTTAAAAGGTAACGTTGGCGGATCTTTCGATAGGGTGGGTCAAATAGTCCAACCAGTTAAGTTCCAGTAGATGGCCGTTCAATCGGGATTGATGGATCGACTGTCCATCGATTACGCACAATCGCCAACGATCATCAATAATCAACGGCAACAATCTGTCATCAACCGAGTGAATAAGTCTGTTGACCATCTATCAAATTTCATCCATTTCCGAACAAATAGATAGCAATTCATTTTTTGCAAATTATGTAAAAATGTTAAACCTGAATAAAAATATTTCTTACATTGGTCTATAATTCGAAGTCAATCCTCATTGCACTAATGCTCCACCTCAATTTCATGTTAGTCGGGACAGGTGGCAAATACATATTATGAATGCAATAATTGTTGAACTATTAGTCATTAACAACATTTTAAAATGACCTGATGGTTTCACCATTCACCAGGAATATTGAATGGCGAAATAATTTAAGGATATCCAAGCATGTTTTACAGTTTGGTACAGACATTATAGGTTCAACCATTTTCAATCATCAAATTTGTCAATTAAATTCCGTGACAAAAATAAAAAAAAAAATGATGAGTATTCAGCGTCCTTCAAATGACGTTTTACACAGAATGATCATTTCTTTAAACATTCGTTATTTATAAATTATTTATAGAAAATTGTCGTAATTTTCAAATATTTCATTTTTTAATTATTTCATCAATTTTGCTGCCAAAGTAAACTTTCTAATTTTTTTCAGATTTTAAAAATGTTTTCTAACTGTTCAATATCGAGATTCAAATTCAGACACGCAAAGTTTAAATAATAAAATCATTGTAAAATGTCCGGAAACTTAGAGTCAAATGTATATCCTCAACTAATTAAATATATGAAATCAAGAGTGAGATTTGCAGTTCAATACGAATTTTAAACCGGGACTCCTGCAGGATAATCGCGAGAATCAGTCATCGGTGGAGCCTCTCACCTGCCTCGGACGAGTTCTCAACACCTACTGAAATGATTTTTACGTCCACCGGGAATTACATAACATGATCCATTTATCCATTTCCTAGAGTTATCTCACCCAAGTAAATAAATTCTTCTACAGCTAATTCTATTCTCGGGATTGAATTTTTCTCTCAACAATTATCAATCTTTCGATGAGGAACGAGTGGGGGAGAGGAAAAATGACGTCTCAAACACGTGTTTTGAAGACGATACTACCAGGAAAACTGACCGCGTTGTGATTCTCAGTGGTGGGGCAGAATTTTTTCCCGATTATTAGTATTGAATTCACTATTATGGATCCTGTTTAACCAGTATCGTCGACTATGACGGATAACCGAGTGGTAACAGTCCCTGATAATCCCGGTAATCGCAACTGTTCAGGTGTAACTATTCAAAAAGATCTTCTTTTCTCCGTCAACTCAACATCATCAATGTCATTTTACTATAATTTTCTTTCGTGCTTGCGACTTCAACGGAACAGATCATCATCTAAAATTATAAATTCCAACAGTGTCTTCCATTAATCGTCTCTATTTTTTTCCAATCAAAATTCTCAACTTTTCCACAACAAGGAAAAAAATTGAAAAACAAATTGAAAAAAATTAATGAATAATTAATTTACAAATAGATGATGACAAGAAGAATAACTTTGAGGAAATAATGTATTTTTACTGATCGATGTGAAGAATTTCGTGACGGAGTAGTGACAACAGTATTGCAGAATACTTTGAAGCAAACTCAGGTGTTCATTAACGAATAACCCGGAGATAATTAAGATTTAATGTCATTTTTTCAGCGTATGTAATTCAAGGCCACTCATTTATCCGTTTTTCCGTAATAAAAACCAATTGCAATCCAAGTGTCAGTGATAAAACTGAAGACCCTGAGCTGGTGATATAGTTACCCACATGTCTAATCTTGAGAGTGATTATAAATAAATTCAACGGATCTCAGTTACAGTTACGATTTGAGATCAATAAATTTGTTGAATGGATTCCAGAAACATCTTTCACATGACAATGTGCTAATTGATTGGTTTTATAATAGGATTCTTGGGTGCCAGGCATTGGCAATGTATTCTGTGCTTCTTGGGCATCACTATTGCATATGTAAACAGAGTTTGCATGTCCATAGCCGTTGTGGCTATCAAGGAGGAGTTGCAAGTGAGTGGCTGTTTAAGAATTTCAGGGCTAAACAAAGGCTATAGGATTAAAAAGTGTTATAGGATTTTCTATAGATTTCCTACAGCATGACGTATAGAATTTTCTATAGGGTGTCACCTAGGAAATCTAGTAGGTAAAGCCCAATGAGAAGTTCTGTAGGGAATCCTATAGAAGAATTTCAGGGATGAAAAATGCTATAGGATAAAGATGCTATAGGATGTTCTATAGGATTTATTATAGAATGTCGTATAGAATTTTTTACGGGATATCACCTAGGAAATCCAGTAGGTAAAGCCCAATAAGAAGTCCTTTAGGAAATCCTATAGAAGAATTTCAGAAATGAAAAATGCTATAGGCTTTTCTGTAGGATTTCCTATAGGGTGTCGTGTAGAATTTTCTACGCGATATCCCTTAGAAAATCCGGTAGGTAAATCTCAATAGGAACTCTTTTAGGAAATCCTATAGAAAAATTTACGGAATTACAAATACTATAAGATGAAAATCCTATGGGATTTGCTACAGAATGTATAGAATTTGCTACGGGATATCACTTCGGAAATCCAGTAGGTGAAACCTAATAAGAAGTTCTTTAAAAGATCTTATAGAAGAATTTCAGGAATTAAAATTCTATAGGATTTTCTGTAGGATTTCCTATAGGATGTCGTATAGAATTTTCCGGGGAATGTCACCTAGGAAATTCAGTACGTAAAGCCCAATAATAAATCCTTTAGGAAATCCTATAGAAGAATTTCCGGGATGGAAAATGCTATAGAATCCAAAAGCTGTAGGATTTCTTACAGGACATCTTATAGGATGTCGTGTAGAATTTTCTACGGGATATCACTTAGGAAATACAGTAGGTAAAACCTACTAAGAAGTTTTTCAGGAAATCCTATAGAAGAATTTCAGGAATAAAAAATGCTATGGAATTTTTTTTTAAAGGATATCCTATAGAATTTGCTATGGGATATCACTTCGGAAATCCAGTGGGTAAAACTCAATAAGAAGTCCTTCAAAACATCCTGTAGAAGAATTTCAGGGATAAATACCGCTATAGAATAAAAAATGCTATAGGATTTTCAGTAGGATTTTCTATAGGATGTCGTATAGAATTTGCTGCGGAATATCACTCAGGAAATCCAGTAAGTTAGTAAAACCCCATAAGAAGTCCTTTCGAAAATTCTATAGAAGAACATCAGGGCTAAAAATTCTATAGGATTCTCTACACGAAAGCCGAGAGTGTCTCTTCCGATGTTATTCTCTAAAAGCACTGATTGTTGAGATAGCGCCCTATTCTCACAAGACTGAAAGAATTTACTCCTTCTTTTCACTAAATTGCTGATACACAATTCCAGGAAAAAGGATCGACTCTAGATGTTGGCCCAATCCTGAGTTCATTCTTTTGGGGCTATACTGTAATGCAGATACCATCTGGCCACTTAGCTAGAATATGGAGTGCCAAAATGGTTTTCGCAATTGGTGTACTGTTGAATGGAGTCGGCTGTATGTTGTGTCCAATTTTCTTCGACGAAGGTGGCTGGATATATCTATGCGCATGCAGAGTTATCATGGGACTCAGTCAGGCCTGTTGTCTGCCCTGTATTCACACAATACTGTCCAAATGGGTGCCTCCAACCGAACGTGGACGTCTGTGTAATTATTTTTCTCCAGTAATTATTTTTCGGAAAAACAGATTCAATATGAAGCGGTAAAAGAGGAAAACAATCGCGACTTGTCGAGTATTATAGCCTTGCAAAAGAGATCTATCTAATTTTTCTCATGAATCAATAAATAATACATCATAAAATGCTAACTAATGCTAACTAATTGAAAAGATAATTAGGCTTCCGAATGGGGAAGTTATTTGAAATGTCTGTTGAGATTTGAAAAATATTTCATGATCTACATTCATAGTTTTTGAGAATTTACCCAAAAACAGTACGGGTTAAATAGTAAAGGGAAAGAATGAAAAAAGTAAATTAGTTGGTAATTTAATATGCAAAAAGAACTCCCCTTATACGCGTAAAATTTTTATAGAATAACATAGCAAATTCGATGGACAATTATGTAGGATTTCTGTTGAGCTTTCTATTGGTTTTTGTATGATTCTATTGAAATGTTCAATAGAAAAATTCTGTGAAAAAAATTAAAGGAATCCGATTTTCCTACAGACTTGACTCTATTGAAATATTTTTTATACTTTTATATTCAACTTTCATCTTGCTCCAAATTGTCTTGATCTCCCTGTTTCCTTAATTGATGATTGTTCTTGGGCATTTTCTCCAGGCACTATGACCTATTCAGGAGCACAGTTTGGCACAGTTATTTCATACCCCATATCTGGAGCCATGATTGATGCCGCTGGATGGAGAAGTGTTTTCTACTCCTTCGGAGCTGCTGCTGTCATTTGGTCATTACTTTTCTACGTGTTCGGGTCCGATTCACCAGCTGTATCAACTCAGAAATCTTTCTGCGGCATCAGTGATACCGAGAAAAAGCGCATCGAGAATGCCCTCGGGGTTCATCAGAGTGAAGACACAGTGGAGCGTAGTAAGGTAGGAGTAAGAGCTGTCCTCCAAATCCATGTTTTCATCTTTTCTCATTTTCATTTGTCTTTGGAGCCAATATTCTTAGACGAACAAGTATTTACTATTTCATTACGCACTAGGGGGCGTTGTCCCTTGCTCCTTTCGCTGGCCAATTGCGGAGGGGTCCGCCCCCTTCGCTCGCTTCGCTCGCTCCGTCACCCGAGGGGCCATACGGCTGCGGCCATGACTGTTTCTCGAGCGCTCCAGTTCTCGAACTTCGTCTTTCGGAGTTCGCTGGGAGTTGTCAAACGGGACAGTCGCTCGTCTGTTCCCTTGTAAAATATCTATCATTCCATCCGAAATATTCTGTCTTAACATCTATCCTTTCTTCTTTTTCTCACTCGTTCTCGCATCTTTCATTGGCATTCCGATAATTAATAGCAGTCTTAGATACTGCCAGCGGCTCCCAAATGGAATTTAGTTTAGTTGAATCGATCAGCCGATTGGGGAGAGTGCATTGATAAAAGTGAAAAGTTTTTTTTTAATACTATCGATAATTAATATTGAGGCAATGTTAGCTGCCAACGTTGGAGCAGTGTTGGCTGCCAACATTGGGTACTCCTTTTTCACGTATTCTTCTTAATTTTTCTTTTGTTGGTCTATCTGCTTTTAGGTTCCCGAAACACCGTGGGGAGCTATATTGACGAGTCTACCATTTTGGTCACTAGTAGCTGCACATTGTGGCCAGAATTGGGGCTTTTGGACGTTAATAACGGAAACACCTAGTTACATGAAGGGAGTGCTTAACTTTGACATCACCGAGGTGAGTGGGGAAACTGGAGATTATTCTTTACTCATAACTTCATTTTCTTGGTCAGCTGAACGAAATTGGACTGCTGATCCGACACACTTCTGACACCGATTGCAGTAAATGAGAGAAATTATTGAATTGAAGGAGTGGTCCTATTAATTGCGAGAGAATTAAGGAGGCATGTCTTTAATTTTCAGACAAAGAACCAATTAACTAAACAAAATCAAAACAGTATCAATCGTCACTCAATTCACTCTTTAGAAGAAAAACTTTACAATAGTTCTAATGCTAAGACAGGAAAAAGAGCGAAAGCTAACGGTATAGTCCTGGTACTGAAAATTTTATTTGCTAGCACGTCAATTTCTCCTGTATTTGTATGAAATTTTCTCTGAAATCCTCAGAAATTTGGCTCTAGAACACTAGAATGTTGCAATGTTTCATCTCTCAAAATAATAATGAAGTATTGAAAAAAAAACTGGTGAATAATAAAGCAAAACTTGCTTGAATGTACATATAAGTGCCAGAATTTTTCTAGAATTCATAAGAAAGTTATTTCCGTAAACAACGATGGGAATACGGTATACCGTACACCATAACAGACTTCAAATGTATTTTCAAAACTGAAGAAAAATGTAGCACAGTAACAAACATAAAAAAAACCGAAGAACTCGGAAATAGAAAAAAAAGACAGTTATTTGAAAAAATAATACGGGAAATGCTAAGTTTCGGAAAAAACTGGCGCGCATAATTCGAATGTCAATGCAATCGCTGGAACATCATGGGAGAGGTATAACTACAGAGAAACACCTTAGTTTCACAAACGTCCGTACAAACGCGCTAGGCATAGCGAAAAGGAGATTTCATAATCTATGAATCTGCAATCAATTCGTTGGACTCATGATGTGAATAAGAAGCCATTGACATAACTAAAACATGCCGATTGACACCCTCAAGTGATTATCAAATCCTGTGAATCGAAAAATTTCTATGACGACACGCGAGATAATATTTTGATTCCCTCCCATTCCAGAGAATTAAATCGGTAGATAATCTTGATGGAGATAGCGAATCGTCAAGTTCTGTGGTGTAACAAAAAATTGTAGTTGTTATAATTGATCGATCTGTGATAGTGATCATTTTCGCGGAGAGACAGTTCTTAAACAAAATGATGAATGATTAAAGCTTCTAAATGTGGAAACTCCGTTGAGAATTGAGAGAATATTGTGATTTAAAATATTCTTCCCAATGCCATCTTGACCGAATCTGTCAAGAATCATCATTTGTTGTTAAAAAAATTTATTTTAAAACCAATAATATGCACGGAAAAGTAAAAAAATTTAACGTTGGAACAATGTTGACAGCCAATGTTGGGGCAATGTTGCATTGTCAAAATTTTTAATTCAATGAGTCATTGAATTCAATTAAAAACACATCGTCATAAAAATTCTATTTCAAACCAAATTGCGAATTTATTAGTAAAAATATCTCAACTATGTTGTGACAAAAGCAATTTCCCATCAAGATTAGTCATTTTCTCTAATTTAAGGGATCTCCATTATGTACGAAATATGCATTTTGAATAGTTCCCCTAATTGAAAATGATTGAAAATAATTTCCTCAATTTCTATTCACAGAATGGGCTGAAATCAGCGCTTCCATACGTAGCAATGTTGGTGCTGACATTCCCAGTCAGTTGGCTGTCAGATTGGGCCCAGAAAAAGGGATTATCGCGTGGTGCATCACGAAAAATATGCAATACAATTGGCCACTGGGGCCCAGGGCTTGCACTCGTTGGTCTCTGCTTCGTTTCATCTGGTGACACAACACTACCCGTTGTACTATTGGTTATCGCCGGGGGACTGAACGTCGGGGCAATTTGCGGATTCCAAATTAATCACATGGATCTGAGTCCCAATTATGCTGGCTTACTCATGGCTTTCACGAACTGCGCTGCGGCAGTCGTTGCCCTATTGGCACCTCTTATTGTTGGAGAAATTGTCACGGACGAGGTAAATGACAGTTTCAACGACTTTCAACGAGTGCATTCAAATCCAGACAAGCTGACTAGTCCGTTCCCTTCGTGGCGTATCCCCACTTTACCAAATCCCCACTCACATCGTATCCCCCACCTTTGAAAATCAAGGGACCGGACTGGTCAGTTTAACTTTGGAACCCATCACAGACAGATTCAAGAAATTGGCGACAACTTTCGCTCGGTAAAACTCCTATTCAACACAGTATTGCGATGTTACTGGCCAACTCACCACAGAAAAATATTATATGGACAATTTATTAAGGGATATATCATCACGTGAAGAATTCATCACAAAGCCATTTTTTTAGCGAATACTTCATTAATAGGAAATCGTTAAAAGGGAGAAATTTACAGGATAAATTGAGTATTTGCTGATATTCTAATACTTTCTTACAACATCGAGATTTGAGTTGATACTTGTGATAATGTGCGTTATCGATTTAGCTCTCGATAAACTGGACCATATTCTCGACCTTTGTCATAAGCCAACACCGAAAGACAATATAAGTACCCCTAGCGATTCTTTTAGAAAATCTGAGAGCCATTCGTACGAAAACATCATTCTTACGACTTGTCGAATTAATTTTAGCCTTGGACAATTGAATTGTCGGTTGTACACGGAAAGAAAAATCTCTCGAAAATTAGTGCACCGTCTCACCAACGCATGGGACTTACCGAAGGGGGCACAAGAAAGTAGAGGGAGACACTGAAAAAGTTGTTTCCCGTACTGAAAAATTCAGATGTGGCATCCCAATTTTTGTGAGTCGTGCACTAATTTTTCATGCGTTTTCCATAGTTTCTCATGTCACTCTTCCGAATAACTGGGTGAACAGCATCCTTTTTCTCATTGATGAAATACACTAATTTTTAAGGAAGGTTCTTTCTACTTTTCAATGTATTTTTGTCTCCGTGTAATCCCCTGAGACCTTCAAACAATCGAATATTTCCCAATTGTTCAGTTGTCTAGTAAAGAGAGGGATGGTACGATTACGATTCCTGTGATGCCATGAGTGAGGATACACATGACAATACGTGGCGCCAAAGGAATCGTAATCATTTCATCAGCGTAACTTGTGTCCACCAAAAATGGCTCTATTACTACTTCTCCAGCTGAAAATTTTTTTAAAGAAAATTCTATTGGATTACTATTTCTTCGGTTACAAATTATAAATTCTATTAGTGTTGGGTGGATTCTACTGTATAATTCTGCAATTTTACTGCGCGTTTTTTCAATAAAAAATGTTCAATAGAACCTATTTTATAGAAAAAATCGGTAGAATTTCATGTTTCTCTATAACTTTTTCGATTATCCATGATTGACGAATGAGCTACGAAATTTTTCAATAGAATCAGCCAAAAAGTAATAGAAAGTCGAGCAGAACTCCAACAGAATTTTCTATCGAATTCACTAGGTTTTTTTATGAAATTTTTTCGTACCTGAAACGTTCAAGTACTGAGAAAACCGTTAAGATTTGATTGATATCGTACGCAGTTATAAAATTTCCAATGTATTTTTTCTTTCAGAGGAACGCGGACCAGTGGAAGATTGTTTTCTACCTGTCCGGAGGTATTTATTTCCTTGGAAATTTAATGTTCATCGTGTTCGGTAGTGGAGAGACTCAGGGGTGGGATGACATTCAAAACACTAAACAAAAGAATGATGGAATGATTATCCATCTTCGATCGTCATCAGCTGCTGCCGAAGACACTTTGATTTTTTAGGAATTGCTCCTCACGGCGACAATTATTTATTCAATACCCAGAAGACTTTGTTGTGAAATTAAAGACCATTACTGTTGATGAAAAATATTCTGTTAGGATATTGTTGAGGAGACACTGTATATTTGAAATAAATTATTTTGTGATAGAAAATGATGCTCGACGTGCGGATGTCTCTGGGTTATTGGTATCGCGATACGCGGTAGTGTATCGGCCAAGAAAATTTTTGACTCCGACTGTACAAAACATCAGGCCGATCGCTGCCGTGGGTCTATACACGAAGCAACTACCTCCTCCACTACCTCCGAATCATATCCATATTAAGGATGTTTAGCCATTTTCAGCAAATCGTAGTTTTTCATGTTCAAGGAAAATTCTATAATTTTTTTAGCTGATAGCAGGACATATGAAACAAACTTCATTGATGTAAAAAAAAATTAATCGCAATAGCCTCGTCAGAAATAAATAAACAAATTTTTCTTTATACACGGGCGCTTATGGGATTTACGTTGAAATTTATAGTTCACCTACTAGAAGATTCTAAAAATAGAATTGTGCACTATGTTCGTTCATTCGACACTATTGATTTCGGTTTCTTTTTCATTTCTGTGTATGTTTCAAAAATTATACTTCCCAGTAAGAACCAAACTAAACTCTTTTTTGGCAGTTTTTTTACAAAAAAATCATAAATCTTTAGGACATTTTATCGAGTGTAATCGATCGTCCTCGATACCACGAGATTATTCATTATCTGCACACTTGAGAGATCTAGTAGAAAGAAAGAGTGTTAATTGATAATGTGATTGAGTATTCGCTCCTGGTCAGGTGCTCGTGTGATAATTGAAAAATTATTTTTCTTCGGTAAAAAAAATTTTCCGGTGTTTTTCCAAATAACTATCATAAACTCTTTTTCACGCGAAAAATTATCAACAAAAAATTTATAATTATTGAAAAGATATAAATTTTTAAAATCATGATGTACGCATTTTTTCTTTGTTAATTATACAAAAAATCGTTGATTATTTTTTAAAAATCTGTCTTCAATGGCATTTCTGAACATTTCATATTGTTTATGAATTAATTATGACTAATTCGGGATTTTCATGCAATCAAAGTCAAATTAAAGAAAACAACAGTTTTTTCTGCTCAATGAACGGAAGGAGTTAGTCTTGGGGAATCATCTAGGTCGTCTCCGACGAATCGGGTGGGGGGCAGTGATTGGGGGGGCATTTTCGCGGTCGTCAAACGCCGATCGATTCATTTGTAGTCGAAGAGTTGTATTAAAAACACCGGATTCAGTGACAAAATAACGCAAAGGAAGAAGTTCGTTACTCAGTTTTGTTTTGGGGTCCTGGTTTGATATCAACGCGAATCAACGATATCAACATGACGGATAGACTCAGAACCAGGAGGATCTCCAGGGTGGAGAACATGAAAGTGCCTGCCCACAAACCAAAAGGTAAATTAACGAATTCTATCAATTCAATGATTCTCGGAAAATTTCAATTTTTTTTTCGAAATTAATTTTAAAAAAAATTTCAACTTTTTCATATCTTTAGATCATAAAGAATTATGTTTTTTTTTTAAGTTCATGTTACTGAATTATAATCGAATCGATAGAAATCGGTATGAAAAAATTAAACAAGTTATGCGCAAGAGAATTAATTCGAAAAAATTATTTTGTTCCTTCAATTTTTGTTTCTATTGTTGCTATCGAAGTATTTGTGTTTACAGTCAGACTCCCTTTTTCTAATATCCCCCTTTCTTCGATGGCACGAGTTGAGGCGCATGCGCACTTCGAGGCACCGCGAGTCATACGTCAAGTCATCCTTACTGTCTTCAATTAATGGAAAAACTTTTTATTTCAATTCTCTGGCACCTATGACAATTATTTCATAAATTTATTGAGTTCGATTTTGGGTTTAAATCGCCTGAATGCACAACAAGTGGCGTTAGGTAGGCCGGCTGAGATCTGCGCAGTAGATTGCGCAGTAGCGTCACTAGTGAATCAAGTGCATCATGGCATTCGACCTTCGCAACATGATTGAAACTCAGGAGAAGAGGAGAAATGTAGAATACAGAGTATCTTTTTTTTTGGGACGAAAGTACTGTAAGGTGTTTCATGTGTAGATCACCGGGGGGTGAAACGGAAGGGGATTCTTATTGTGCTCGAGCCCTGATTCAATCGCTGAGCACGAAATTTTTTCCAATTTTCAAGTAACTATTTAAGTGTGCATTCGAACATTTTTTTAATAATAATAATTTTTTAAATTTTATTTATCAGATTGATCGAGTTTTTTCTCATCACCTACAGGTGTCAAATAATTTTTATTGAGTGTTTTTCTAATTATTGAAATAATATTAAAATGCGTCTCGAGTTGGTAAACCTGTCGAACTTTCCCATGATGCTCATTGACATTCGAATNTCTTCGGTAAAAAAAATTTTCCGGTGTTTTTCCAAATAACTATCATAAACTCCTTTTCACGCGAAAAATTATCAACAAAAAATTTATAATTATTGAAAAGATATAAATTTTTAAAATCATGATGTACGCATTTTTTCTTTGTTAATTATACAAAAAATCGTTGATTATTTTTTAAAAATCTGTCTTCAATGGCATTTCTGAACATTTCATATTGTTTATGAATTAATTATGACTAATTCGGGATTTTCATGCAATCAAAGTCAAATTAAAGAAAACAACAGTTTTTTCTGCTCAATGAACGGAAGGAGTTAGTCTTGGGGAATCATCTAGGTCGTCTCCGACGAATCGGGTGGGGGGCAGTGATTGGGGGGGCATTTTCGCGGTCGTCAAACGCCGATCGATTCATTTGTAGTCGAAGAGTTGTATTAAAAACACCGGATTCAGTGACAAAATAACGCAAAGGAAGAAGTTCGTTACTCAGTTTTGTTTTGGGGTCCTGGTTTGATATCAACGCGAATCAACGATATCAACATGACGGATAGACTCAGAACCAGGAGGATCTCCAGGGTGGAGAACATGAAAGTGCCTGCCCACAAACCAAAAGGTAAATTAACGAATTCTATCAATTCAATGATTCTCGGAAAATTTCAATTTTTTTTTCGAAATTAATTTTAAAAAAAATTTCAACTTTTTCATATCTTTAGATCATAAAGAATTATGTTTTTTTTTTAAGTTCATGTTACTGAATTATAATCGAATCGATAGAAATCGGTATGAAAAAATTAAACAAGTTATGCGCAAGAGAATTAATTCGAAAAAATTATTTTGTTCCTTCAATTTTTGTTTCTATTGTTGCTATCGAAGTATTTGTGTTTACAGTCAGACTCCCTTTTTCTAATATCCCCCTTTCTTCGATGGCACGAGTTGAGGCGCATGCGCACTTCGAGGCACCGCGAGTCATACGTCAAGTCATCCTTACTGTCTTCAATTAATGGAAAAACTTTTTATTTCAATTCTCTGGCACCTATGACAATTATTTCATAAATTTATTGAGTTCGATTTTGGGTTTAAATCGCCTGAATGCACAACAAGTGGCGTTAGGTAGGCCGGCTGAGATCTGCGCAGTAGATTGCGCAGTAGCGTCACTAGTGAATCAAGTGCATCATGGCATTCGACCTTCGCAACATGATTGAAACTCAGGAGAAGAGGAGAAATGTAGAATACAGAGTATCTTTTTTTTTGGGACGAAAGTACTGTAAGGTGTTTCATGTGTAGATCACCGGGGGGTGAAACGGAAGGGGATTCTTATTGTGCTCGAGCCCTGATTCAATCGCTGAGCACGAAATTTTTTCCAATTTTCAAGTAACTATTTAAGTGTGCATTCGAACATTTTTTTAATAATAATAATTTTTTAAATTTTATTTATCAGATTGATCGAGTTTTTTCTCATCACCTACAGGTGTCAAATAATTTTTATTGAGTGTTTTTCTAATTATTGAAATAATATTAAAATGCGTCTCGAGTTGGTAAACCTGTCGAACTTTCCCATGATGCTCATTGACATTCGAATCACGCGCCTGCGCGTGAAGGCGTAATTGTCCCGAAACTAATAATTTTCCGAATCATTTGTTCAAATAACTTTCTTATGAAACCTGAAAAAAATCTGAAACTTATACGTGTTCTCAAAAAGATTTAATTTATCACCTACTAGTTTTTCCTCAATAGTTCATTATTTTTTTGGGTACCATGAACATTTCCCTAATTGAGAGTGGGGTAACCTCGGAAGTTGCAGCTGGAGGCGTTACAAAAATATCTAAATTTCATAATTTTTTTTCTTGAGACTGAGATCTGAAAAAAATGTGCAAAAATTGTCAATGATGCAGCATACTCAAACATTTCTCCCATGAATTTTCCAATAGTTTTTCATTATTTTGACTTTTCACACGAAACACCTTAAGAAAGAAGGTTTAAGAAAGGGGACAACCGGCTGTATTCTTCCAATATTCAGCATGGTTTTCCCCCAGTAGGGAAGAGATAACAGAATAAGTCAACTTATTTTAAAAATAAATTTTGTTTGTTTACAAATATCTCTGAAGATTTGTGAGGACCTTTTTTGTGGAGCAAAAAGGGATTCACAAGAAGGTTTTTCCCATCTTCAACAGCAACTGAAACTAACTCATCTTATTTTGCGCCGTAACTTGTCAATTAATTTAATCAAATAACGGATTGAAAAATGATCAAAGCTTGTTAATAAATCATTTCTACGAAGCCATCCGGTGTTGTAAATCTAATGCAATTAGAAGTAAACAAAATATAATTTTCCCATCAATTACAGCGCGAAGAACTTCTATCCGCATTCTTCATAAAACATCTATTTTTTATTCATGTTCAACGGAATTTGTTGCATGAAGCTTGCGACTAGCCACAGCTCGAGGGCCTTCAGCCTAATGGAATATTTTTCCAATAAATTGTGGAAAACATTACACCAGATCTTATTTGTTCTGTTATCGACTACTCCACATTCCGCCGCTCGGTTTATTTATCGTTACGACCTTTTTCTGATATTCCTACTTCATCCTGAATGACATTTCTTCGTTTATATCGTTTGCGATTAAATTGCTGATTGATAACATTGTTCGCACTTACATTGCAGCTTGGTTTGGATGCAGGCACGTGCAGATTCTTCTCATGACTCTAGGATTTTTCACTTGTTACGCGGTCAGAGTCGCCCTGTCCATCTCACTGGTGGCTATGACCAACTCTAAACATGCGAATCCAGATTTTTTAGTAATAACTAATTTATATTGTTCAGTTAATTATAAATTTTCGTGGGAATTTCTCTGTAAATTTTAGCTCATTTCATTAAAAATTTGGTTCAAGAAAAACGAAGAAGAAAGTTGAAAAATTTACAGAGAATTTTGGGCTTCAAAAAGGTCTCTTGAAATTTTTTCTTCCAAAACATAGATTCAAAGATATTTCCGAAGTAAGCTACACAATTCCTTTTTACCAATTTTCAATTCAATTTTTTAGATCAATTTTCTAGATGAATTCTTCATCCAATATAATTAACCCTCAAGTGGTCGCACAATGAGGCAATAACCGTTTGTTGATTTAATAAATTCATAAAAATTTGTGTTTCTATTTTCAAATGTATCGATTTGCTGAAAATCCCGGATTAACCTCAAAATATTTTAACTTTGCAGCAAATGAAATCGAATTCTTGGTTTACCTGACAGCTGTTTTTGTTTTCTATCCCATTTCCTATTAATTAAAGGTTCAAAATTATTCGTAAACGCAGAATGAATTATTTTTTCCAACTTTTTTCTTTTTATGAAATCGTAAAATACACAAGGCGGGGATTCCCCAGTGATGCGACTGCTGAGGTAACAGAGGCCCGCGTATTTTTGAAATTTTTGAACAAATTCCCTACCGAAACTTATCGATATTTTTTTCAAAACAAAACAGATTAACCCGGAGGCGGAGGTGATGATGAAGATCAATGTACTTTGGTGTAAAAAAATATTAATGACGTTGAGAAGGAAATTCGTTTGAAAATTTCGAGGAAACGGTGGCCTCTTGTTACCCCTTAAGAGCTGGAGATGAAAACAAATAATTGTTTGAATCGTAAATTCAGTAGAATATTTTCTTTTGAATTTAGGAATTTAATTGGGACGACGGGATCCAGAACACGATCCTCAGTTCCTTCTTCTGGGGTTACGTGATAACCCACATACCGGGCGGTGCTCTAGCTCAAAAATTCGGAGCACAGAAATTATTTGCCTTCGCAGTAGGTCTCTGCGGACTTGTTACGATATTTATTCCTACCGCAGCTACGTACGGAGGATGGCAGGCTGTTATTGTTCTGAGAATTCTCACCGGATGTTGTCAGGGTGTAGTACCCCCGTGTATACATACTCTATTATCAAAATGGGTACCTTTGGAGGAGAGAGGAAGAGCAGGTAACGAAAAATATGAACTATTATTAACAAAAAAAAATTCGCCCTTTCCAAACGAAAACTAATTTCAAATTTTCAACTGACTAAACAAAAAAAACACATTAATTAATTTACAATAGTAATAGTAATAGTTTTTTTCATTTTTCAATTAATTATTCTTATTTTTTCAAATTATATTTTCTATATTTTTTTTCTATTTTTCAATTTCAATTGATGAAATTAATTGATTATTTTGATAGAAAAAAAATATTACTTCCCGATTTCAAATGCTTTTGAGGAATATTATGTAACTTGATGAACATTATAAATATTGCAGAGAGCAATACACTTTATAGAGATATTGTTCTCTGCAAAAAAAATTGAACTTTTGTTATGAAAAAATGCATCGAATTAAACAAATTAATTATTTTGAGTGAATAGATTTTTCAATTAATTTTCAAAGGCAGTTGCACGTACTCCGGCGGTTGGCTAGGGAACGTGATAGCCCTGTTAACCTGTGGAGAACTATCCAAATCAATCTTAGGCTGGCCAGGGAGTTTCTACACTTGGGGTGGAATAGCCATCCTCTGGGCTGTCCTCTTCCTCATCTTCGGAAAAGATTCTCCCTCTGATCACAATAAAATTCCCCTGGATGAGAGAGAGTACATTGAAGTGAGCTTGGGAGTCACAGAAACCGTCGAGGTATGCATGGTCAATTTATTCTTAGTTTATTAAAAAAATTTGGCTCAAAATTTTCGGTAGACTTCTTGGGAATTTTTATCCGGTGACATTCTTATGAAATTTCAAGAAATTTTGTCGTTGGGAACGATTTAATTAGAAAATCAATAGAAACTGTAAAATCAAGGGCAATCATTTCCTGAAATTCAGTAGAAATGAGGAATGTCTGGTGAATATATTCTTGAATTTTTTGTTAATTGCAAGTTTCACGTAATTCAGCAATAAATATTCATGTTTTGCTTGAAAATTTGAGTTACTTTAGAAATTCTCGTCGTTTGCAACTCCAAAAAGTTTGCAATTTCATTGAATTTTCAGTGAAATTAAAGATTTCATAATTTTATATACGAAGATATTTAATTGAAAAACCTAGCGTATTCGATAGAAAATTCCAGCGGATTTTTATTAAACTTTTATTGAAAAAATCCATTAGTTTTTGGATTCTATTGAAAATTGCGCAGTTTTTTGCTAAAAAAATGCGCGTTTTTTCTGATGAAAAATGTCCACCAGAAACTATTTTCATACAAAAAATTAGTAGAATTTCCTGGCATTAAAGTTTTTATCACCCTGTTTACCTTTCGATTTCATTTTAAAAAGCTGCGGAATTTTTTAAAAGCATAGCTCAAAAACTAATAGAAACCCAATTGAATTTTCTAGCGAATTATTTTCCTTCTTTCTGCTAATCTTTTATCCTAAATAGAATTCAGTAGCAAATATCTCGGGATCTAAGGAAGATAGCAACATTTTCATTGGAACCTTTTTTGTAGCCCTTAATTCGCTCTATACAAAAGGTGATTACAAAAATTTCGCTATCTCCCTTAGATTCGGAGATATTCGTCAAAAATTCAGCTGAGACCTAAATCGATTTCTCAACTGTCTCCAAAATTTAATTTCTTTTTTAAACAATGCAATATCAATTCGAAAGAAAATGCAATTGATAAATTTTTCATCTCTAAAAACTTCGTAAAATGAAGTATCATTCACGAACAACATTGACTCAATGTTTAAATATCCATTTGTGGTGTGACTTTTCCCTTGACAGTATCAATTAATTTAGTACGATAAATTGATTGTCGATTCCATTGGACAATTTGTCGTGATTTAATTTAATATAAATTCTCGTTTATAGACATTGAAAACACCTTGGCTATCGATCATGACCTCGATTCCTGTCTGGGCACTGCTGATTGCCCAGTGCTCGCAAGCCTGGGGTTTCTGGATGCTCCTCACCAAGACCCCAGCGTATATGGACAACGCGTTGCATTATAAAATCGACGAGGTGAGCAGAAAAATTCTTTTCACTTCTTTTAATTAATTGAAATTGTCCCTCGCCTCCGCAAAACGAGTTTCGTTTCCATTTCCCTTGATATCCGACACTCAATGTCGGTTAGAAATTGTCTAATCTTCACTTTCACGGTCGAATAATCGATAATGCGTCGCCAGGTGAATAACAATAAACTTCCGATTGAAATAGAAGGATTGAAATTGATTATTTCGTTTGCATTTGTGTGAATGGAAGGCCGAGATAAAGTGATCGTACGTGAGTCGAATGAGATTCAGCGATAGTGGCTAAGGTCACGGCTCATGGAGCTACTAGCACTCGTGAAATTTTAATTAAGTGGTTAATTGAATTTCTTGAGAGGGAAAATGGAAAATGCAATGATCTTGACATCGAAGTGTTTGCTTGCGATGGTGGAAATAAGATTATCTCGATGACTCTGAGAAATCCGTGATTGAAAATCATTGCGGTAGGAAGGTGTGGAAATTTCCGATCCGGAACACTACACTGATAGAATGATTCATTTATTCCAAACGAGATTCGTTAACTATTAACGAATGGTAGAGTTGAATATGACCAAAAGAATATTCGTTAATAGTTAACGAATGATTCACTTGAATGGCGAAAGTCAAGTCAAACATGGCTCCTCAAATATACATTCGTTAACTATTAATGAATGAGCATTTGATGAAACCGAATAGACCCTCCAACCAAAATCCATTCGTTAACAATAACTAATCCGTTCTATCAGTGTACTGTTGAACGCATTTTGCCCCAACGTTAGTGTAGTAACACTCGGAAAATGGTTGAAGGCGTTTATTTACCATAATATGGCAATTTAACATTATATACAATTATATACAAGCTTAACGAGATTCAGCCGTAGTCTCAGCCCTTGGGTTCTCGAGATATCGATGGAAAACTGAAAAATGAGATGTGCGGAAGAAGAATGTTTCTCGTGTCTGCCATGGATGAAGAAACATGCACATTCCCAATTATCAAGTCTGAGATATTTTGGGAGATGATTTGGGACGACATAAATTTAAAGGCAACTCACTCCTATCCCCTTACGATGGAGAAACTACCATTTGAGTCGCGAAGCGGTGAACCGGGTTAACTCGATTTGGACTATAGGCTAGTTTTTGACGAATATCTCGGAATCTAAAAGAGATAGAAAAATTTTTGTCATGACCTTTTTTGTAGGACCAACTGAGAGTTATAAAAAAGGTTATGAGAAAAATTTTGCTATCTCCCTTAGGTTCCGACATATTCATCAAAACCTGACCAAAAGTCACAATCGACTTAATCCGGTTTATCGCTTCGCTACTGATTTCTTCTGATTTTAAAAATAATTTTCTCTCTGCCAATAGGTATCTCTGGTAGAGTAAATGGACAATGTTCTGTAAAGAGAAGAATTGTCCCTTGAAACAGGCGCAGAATGTCATTTATTCATGCGAAAAATTATGCTTCTTTCCTCAGAATGGCCGAGTATCAGCGCTACCATACCTGGCAGCATGGCTACTGGGTTTCCCCATAAGTTACGCATCTGACAGGCTCGTTAAAGCCGGCTATGTGTCCCTAGTCACCATGAGAAAGATAGCAAATACGATTGGTGAATTTATTCCAGCAGCAGCATTAATTGGACTCGGTTACGTTGACAGTGAGCATCGTGAAATTGCGGTCGGTGTCCTTGTCACAGCCGTGGGATTCAATGTTGCTGTGTTTAGTGGCCATCAGATGAATCACATGGATCTAAGTCCAAATTTTGCCGGTATACTCATGGGAATTACTAATGCTGCAGCTAATATTTGTGGAATTGCTGCACCACTCATTTGTGGACTCATTGTTACTGACACCGTGAGTATTGTTTTTATTTTTTGGGTGTTGGTTGAAAAACTGAGGATTCAAAATTATATTTGCAAGGGGCTACTCACTACTGGATGTGTATAGTAGTCAGGGATCCCCATCAATATTAAATTTCTGTAATATTACAAGGATTCGACCCTTACATTATTGAAGGTTTAAAACATGTTGATTCAATTTTTCAAATAATATAATAGTAATAATCTGATTTTATATGAATAATAATATATTTAAAATTTGCTAATATGAAACTGTAAATTTACTATTAAGTGAATAATTCAAATTTCTTGAAAGGGGATTTTCGATTACACAAGTAATCGTCAATCTTCCTACCTCAAATTATTGATTGATAAAATAGTTGAAAATTTGAATATTTGAACTGATGATACTTAAGTACTCAAAAAATTTCAAGAGTGATGTTATCTAATTAAGGGCTACAATATTAACCGTAATAAAATATTGCAAATTTGGCTATCCCTGGTAGTAGTGAATAAAAATCTAAATACATTCAAATTGTAATATTACGTAATATTATTACGGGTCAAAACACTCTATACAATATATTCATGATCGATAACATGCAAATATCTCAATCAATATAATAATATTGATCACCTGAATTATTTTTGATCAACAAAAGATATTGATTCCCAAAAAAAAATTTTCTCTTGCTTTTTTTTTTGTCAACAATTCGGATAAATAAAAAAAAACTCTTTTTATCGTCGCATTCCCCCACATACAATTTTCTCGGCGCTCGAGCGCATCCCCCACTCTACTACCACGCAGCCCCTGGAGTATAGTAGAGTCTCCCTAACTTAGGTTGCTCTATCACCAGAGCAACCTAATCTCTATTTATAACCGAAGTGGAATAGAATGAAGAGTAGAATTCGATATTCGGTATGTAGCCATTTATCTGAGAAACAAATGATTTGGAGAGAAAATGTCAAAAGACCTTTTTTGCAACTGGGGATTCACACCAGAAACTCTCTCCTAACGTTTTTCCTCAAAATTAATAAATAACGAAATAATTTAGGAATTAACCTGTTTATTATTAATTTTTAGGATCATGCAGATATCTTGGAAATTAGTGATTATAATATTTGATGGTACTCACCTAGACATCTAAATGACTAGCAATTGCTGGAATAGGCGCTCCATTTCTTGTCTGTTAAAGTCTTAAGGATGTTCAGCCAAAACCCACATTATTCACCACAATTTTGATATTGTCTCACATGCCAGGTTTATATTTGAGCCACACATTAGTAATAATCTTAATCCTTCCATCGAGGCATCCTCGTGAGAAATTAATGTCTGAAAATCACTTCTTGTAACATTACGCTTAGGGAAGAAACATGACCGTGTGAACTTTGATCGAGATGTTGCATGGGTTAGACACTCAAGATTTTGAAAAAAAAAACCACAAGCCATTTACTTTAGACTATGGAGAATCTATCGCCGGCGAGAACAAGTAGGGGACCGGGCCATATAGGCGTGATATCTTCGACTGATTTTCGAATTGCTCTAAAAAAAACTTGACCGCCATTACGAGTCGAGCAACGCGACAACACCGCACAACAGCTGATCGAGGTCGGTAAAGTCGGTGATGATAATTCAGTGCTGGAAGCATATGGACACGTATAACACACACAACATTCATCTCACTGTTACAACTCCGCTACTAGCAGAAGCGTGCGATGTTGCCCGATCAAAATTCGACTGTTACCACTGCAGTCACAAGTCCTCCATTATTTATCAACATTTTATTTAGTTATTGCTTTTGAGACCGGAAAAGTACGCCCTAACACTTCTAATTTGATGAGAAAAATGATTTGTTTCATGAATGATTTATTTTGTCAGTTTTATTTTTCTTTTCAACTGAGTTGTCCACTTGATAGGTTAAACATCCTTAATCACTGCCTACAGTCGTTATGACAAAAAATATCGTTCGTCACGCGGCCTAGACAAACTTTTCTAGCTCGGATGATTGCGACCTTCGCCTTCGGCTCGGGCTGCAAACTCATATTCGCAAGAAATGTTTTTTTTCGACCTAATGACGAAAAAGGATATTTGTGTTGTTTCCCTGCCTTTGAGAACTCTCACTTGGCATTTTGGCCATTTTCGGGTTACGGAACACGAAGTATGAAAAACGTGCGGGAGCAGACTGTTTACTGCGCATTCACCAAGCGCAGAGGGATACACGCATATCACTCACACGCGTTTGGGGTGCTCGGAGTGGGGGAACACTCTCCCCGCTGTTGCTGATCGCTGTGAAATTGGAGGGTAGAGAAATTAGGGAGACGCTACTGTAAACACTTCAGTGTTTACTTCGAACAGCCATTGTCTTTTAATTCCCGGGAGGGCGAAAAAATAGTATATTTCGCGCTCCGCGTGCCTAAAAATCCAATTTCCGCCACATTGTGATGAAAAATATTGTTCGTAACGAGTGCTAAAAAACATTTCACAATAATATACTATTTCACGAGTTACGAATAATATTTTTCATCATGTGACGAAAATTTCACTTTTCGTCACAGCGTGATGAAAAAAATATTCAAAATGTGAATTTTCGATGAAAAAATTCAGTCGACGCCTGACTGTCATGGGGGGAGGACCTAATTATTTTGACATAACGTTGATTTAAATTGAGACAAATTAAATAATGAATGGAAGTAACAAAAACGACAGGATTACTAATAAAAAAAAACTGTAAAAATAGAGCTAGCGCGAGATGAAAAGAATTCGTTTTCGTACAAAAAAGTTATATTATTTAAGAAAATGTTGATTATAAAAAAAAGTTCATCAAAATGTATAAAAAATATTGATCTAATAATTGAAGTCGTTAAATCAAGTTTTTCACTTAGATAAAGTGTTGAATTGAAAAAAATAGTTTTATTTTATTGTTCTTTTATTCTTTCGGCGACTATAACAAGAGTCTAGTGTAGTATTTATTTTGGCAAATAAAAACAGAAAGAGGAAAAAATCAGTGAAAAAAGGGGAGAAAATGGTACAAGAAACTTGAGAAAGAATTGTAATGCCTGGAGTCTGAATTTTTAATGTTTTTTACAATTGAAATCACGTGAAAATTAATATGATTACAATCACGTGATCTACATTATTTTGATGTCATGGTTCAATCCAGTCTTGGAATGAGTAGCCCCTTGGTTTTTTTATAGAATGAAAAAAAGCAATCATTTGGATATGCCTGAGAGGATGCGGAAATTCTAATGATGATAAAAAATTTCAGAGTGATGTCCACCAATGGAGAAAAGTCTATTTCTTATCAGCTGGAATTTACATAATAGGAAATTTAGCATTCGTGCTGTTCGGAAAAGCAACTGTACAACAATGGAATGACACAACAACACACATTGAGGATCACGAAATCTCGACAATCCCAGAGGGGCCAAAAGATATCGACGAGAAGAGGATTGAAGAAAAGAGTGAAATTATACAGTAATTCTTCACCTCATTTCCTACATTGGGAAATTACGGTTTTTATCCAGGAAACATTTGAGAAAATATTTCTCAGATCAATTTGCATCTCAGATTATCATAATGTAGCTATTTAATATTTATTATGTACATAAATTAAGTTCCAAATCCATAAAAAATGATAGGTTTGGAATTATTTGAAGTTTTATTTGAATATGACACCCACTTTAGTCCATTTTTCTTCGTCTACTTGACTTCGATTTCCAAAGGGTTTTCAGGATCCATATTGTGCCAACTGAGGTCACGAATAATGTGATACAAGTGACAAAATGCCTCTGGGATAAATCTCCAACTGGGACTTTCCATTCGTAACTTTTGGTTTTCTGGAAAAAAAATCAAAATTATAGAAATTATCCTTGAAAATCTGTGTAGAGGTATCCCTCATTCAGAATATTTCCATTCAAATATTTATGCATTTATTCACAAGCATGTTTCATCCCCAGGGGAAAAATTAAAAGATTATGTACAATTATTTTTGCTAATAAATTAGCAATTTGTTTCCGAATGGGTTCTTCTCTTTTCTCAAATTCTCATTTCACTATTCTTTTCTTCTATTTTTTGATGTCATAGTACTATCATCAATTGAAATGTCATAAAAATTTAGCGTATTATTTCGTTCTGTCAAATAATTCTATAGAGATCGAGATTTTCATATAAAAAGCTCATGACGGTATTGTGTAACTTGATAAGCAATGATGCTGTTCTCACAATTTTTCAACTTGATTAAGAAGGCATTGAAATATACTTTTCAAGCCTTGATTTAATTGCTATTACTGACGATTCTTTCAGTAATCATAAAAAACCGATTTCAATTCGAATAAACAATGTGCTGTAACTCAACAATGAATGTGTGACCTCCATCATATTCTGATAGAATCAAAACGGTATTGTTATCAATTTCTTGAGCCACGACTAATTCCGTTTTAATGACAATTTTTCGAGTGATCGTTGAAAAATCGATTTTTTGAAAAATATCAATTTTTTCGAATCTGTATGAATAATTGAATTTCAATTGTTGTGAATGAATAGAGCTTATTACAGTCTATATTCATGAAAAAATTCATGAAATTCAATTGATCCCTTACAAGAAAATTCCGAATAAAAAAATTTAAAAAAAAGAATAAACAAATGCGATCTAAAAATCGAAACTTAAATTTGAGCGATTACAAAGCTTCCACTCAGAAGCAAAAATAAATACTGGACTTGAAAAATTGTTTGAAAACTAGTCATAAAACAGACAAGAAATGATTTACTCACAGTTTCATACGGAATTTCTCTCCACTTGGTCGATAAATCTACACAAGGCGCACAAAGATCAATTTTAGAGACTAGATATTCTTTGATTCGATTCTTGCAACCGAGAAGTAATTTGGGGGTGGGTAAAATTACAGAGACTAGGCCTCCTCCCTTCCTGGCTCTTTGGTACCTCTGATGCACTGGGAGGCTCAGGATACTGTTGGTTTCGTTCAGCTTTGAGCACATTGTAATGCTCTGGGGCTTTGCCTCCTCCGCGAAGATCTCAACGTCTGTCTCGCCTTCGGAACAGGCCATGTCCTTGAATGAAAATCCAGAGAATAATATATAACGATGGATTTGTCAGAGGACGAAAAATTAGTTTTTTGACTACTGTTTGGACAGGGAAGTTTTTTTTAATTCGTCAGCATGGAGTTTTCATAGTTTTTTCAATGAATAGATTGTTGAAATAGATATTTTCAAAGTTTTTATGAAACAGGCGGAATAATAGACCAAATCAACAAGACGATCACCAACGTTCGCTTTTCGATTTGAAGAAAATTAATTCTTATTTTCATCAATTTAACAAATGAAATTAAATTTTAATAAATTAAATTAATTCTCATTTTCATAAAAATGCAGTCTACCATTGCGAAGAAATAACGTCAACTGACGCTAAAATTTTTGTCATCTTACTGATGGTTTTTGGTAAAATGTTCAAATTTAAAAAATTAAGTTTTTGAGATAATTACGATAATCGCGAGTTAAAGGGGAATTCGATATCTCCAAACTGGAATTAGATATTGATAAAATTTTGAAAAAAAAATCACTTGAAAGTATTCATCTGAGAAAATGAGAAATTAAAAAAAATCATAACTTCCTCAATTTTTTATATTTTTCAATAATTTTTTTTTCAAAATATTTTTTTGAAGACAAACTTTCCGGAAAAAATTGGAGAAGAAATCCCCGCCGTCGAGTTTTTGGCCTAGCGTTCTGACACGGAAATCCTCAGATTCATACCTGATCGAGATACGCGGTCGCGTATCGGTTAAATATACTAGAAACAACAGTCAGTATTTGGATCTCGCGATTTTTCAATTCTGTAGTAGGGAGTTTTCACACAATTTCCAATAAATAGATTGCAATCAATATTTTAAAATTTTTTTATTAAACAGACGGAACAGTAGATGAACTTAGCAAGGAAATGACCAAAACTCACTTAAATAAAATAAATTTAGTATCAAGTAAATACATATTGATAATAAAAAAACATTTATTTACTGTAAACAAAATCTCAAATAAATCAAAAAATTTTACTTTGAATACAAATTTAATTTCGTACTATTTTAACAAACTTATTTATTTGATTCAAATAAATAATTTTTCTGGGTGCACTATTGACGCGATAAGAACTCTTTATTTTCAAGAGCTTTATTTTTTCAATGACTCTTGTTCTTCTCCGAGTGATTTCTGTTAGGTTCACGAGGGACCAACCCTTGAACCTTGCCAGAGCCTTGGCACCATATCAATTCTTAGTCCTAATTAATACATTCCTAGCAGATTAAATACACCAGGAACAACATTCAGTAGTCGACCCGTCATTTCCATTCTTGGATAATCATTGTGACCACATTTTTATAGGTGTTTTCCATGGAGTAGTACTGACGACACATTGAGCAATCTCCGTTCGGATTCAGGAAACGCCAGTTGGTCACTTGTGGCTAGAGATGCTAAATGACCGTCATTTTTAGGCCGCTGCATGTGACCAAAAAATGACGGTCATATAATGCTCAAATTTTCAACCTAAAAATGATGGTCACAAATAATTTGCAAGCAAATTGTTGTCAAAACAATTATACAAATGCATAATGACGGCTATAACTAATTTCTAATTCTAATTTTAAAAAACTAATTTCTAATTTGTGACGGTCATAAATGAAAGAAATAGTTTCACCTATAGAGATGAAAAATGAGCGTAACAAAATGCACATCAGGCTAATGTAAAATGAATTCAAATAAAAATTGATGATGACAAAATGAAGAAGAATCTATATATAATTGATGAAAAATTATTATTATGTCATATTTTTTTGGCAAATTGTGACGGTCATCAATACGGTCGTGTGACGTATTTGCATCTCTCCTTGAGGCCATTAGAGTGAATTTCAATAATGAAATAGCTGTGAACAATTAACCATTTTCATGTGGCCTTGGTGGCGCTGGCTCATTGCCCCCGACGTAATTTATTGTGTTATGTGAACTAGGCCATAATGCGCCACTTGTCACACCCCAAACGCAAAATGTCAATGCAAAAATATATAAATTTCGTATCACAGCTTTTGAAGCTCCTTCCTGAGTATTTTCCCTGCTGGGCTTTTTGGGATTTTATCAATAAACTGGACTTGATCGATATGTTTATGCTTTGAAAGCCTCTCCGCAACGTAATTTTTTATCTCTTCCTCTGTGATTTTGCTATTTGGTTTCGACACAATGAATGCTTTTGGTGCTTCCCCCAATCGTTCGTGGGGTACTCCAATCACTGCAACATCCGCGACCTTTTCGTGGCCAAAGATAAGGTCTTCCAGTTCGGCTGGCGACACCTGGAGGCCCTTGACTTTGATGAGCTCCTTCCTGCGTCCACTGATAAATAATTGTCCTGAAAATAATTATAAAAATTTGAAATTATTCACGAAGAAAACGAGTTAGTGATTATGATGTGACATTTCAGTGAACGGAGAGTGAAGTGCCTTTTCAGCATTTTTACTTCAAATCCATGAGAAATTTTGAGAAGAACGGAATAATTTTTTCCCACCCGCTTTCGCTTTCCACAAATAACAATACGACCGATGAAAACAATATGTCCCAATTTATCAGCTGTTAAATTTCCATATTACAATAAATAATTTGCTCATGTTTCGAATTCCTATGCTCATCAAATAATATTTTAATCATAATTACAATTCAATTATTTCTAGAATACACTTTAGAGTGTGACTTTCTGGAATTTAATGTTTGTTGATACTCTGATAAAAGTGCGTGCCCACTGTTATCAATTTTTAGTTAGTTCACACGGTAATTCAATTAAACTGTTGTTCATCTCATCAATGTAATTCCGTGCTTAGAAGTTTGTCATCTCGTGTTTTCAGCAGCAAATTAAAAATTAAAACTTCATTTGGAATATTGAGTCACAGCTTCTTTTTGAATATTAATATTATTTGTTCAAACTAAAAAAATCGATCATCATTTTCACTATATTGCATTCAGATTCTCCTATCAGTAACGTCAAAAGTGTAAGATAATCTCATAATTCTAGCTATCAATTCTAATCAACTTTGTTCGAAGAAAACCTTAGTAAACACAATATTAAGAAAGTAGAATTATTCTATTTTCCTCTGAACTAAATAATTTGGACGATTATGATTCCTTTATTCATATTTTATAGAATGGTATTCAATTCTCTTTTGTTTGTTGGGCGGACTTCATGAAAATTCGACGCAAGACGATTGTACTCATGAAAACCGCCTCACTTTCACCATTCGTTCGAGTTCTCATTTTCTATTCGCGATATTGCCCATGTGTTTGTTTTTAGAAAGGATTATAATGCATACCTTTTTCGTCAATATGCCCTAAATCCCCTGTCTTGAACCACTCCCCATCCATACAATCCTCGGTGGCCTTCACATTCTTAAAGTATCCAGTCATTACCTGTGGTCCTTTCACAAAAATTTCTCCCATCTCGTTAAGCCCCAGATTGTGCCCAAATTTATCATCATTTCCGCAAACAATGCGTATTCGGGAATTTACAGATATTAAACCTACAGACTCTGCAGCCGAATATTTTGACCGTGATACCATCGGTGAGGTCTCGGTCAGTCCGTAGCCCTGGTTAATACTGTGTTTCATTTTCGCCTGAAATTTGGCGACCAGTTCAGTTCCAAGGGGGGCTGCACCACTCAGGAAAATTTTGACGCATTCCACATGTTTTTTATTGAATCTGTCGTCATTTGTCATGAGTTGAACAATCGGAGGGGCTACGTATAATGCTGACGTTTTGTTTTTCTCAAGGATGTCTAATAGATTGTTCGGTGTAAATTGCGGCATGCAAATAATTTTTCCACCCAGGCTGAGATAAAAAACAACAAGTGGAAAATTTCTTTTGTTACAGCGTAGACAATGTATTTTTGCCAATCAATTCGTAATTTGCTTCCGAACGGAATTTCTCTATGTGGATGTTTTTTAAATTGAATTCAATGATTCATACTCAACGTTGGCAGCCAACATTGATCCGACGTTGGCAGCCAACATTACTCCGACGTTGGTAACCAACATTGCCCCGATATTGATAGCCAACACTGTCCCGACATTGGCAGCCCACACCGTCCCAACATTGACAGCCAACATGGACCCAACGTTGGGAACCAGCATTGCCGCGACGTTGGTAACCACCATGGTCCTAAAGTTGCCAGCCAATATTGTCCCGACGTTGGTATCCAACATTGCCACAATGTTAATAGCCAACACGATCCCGACGTTAGCAGCCAACATTACCCCGATGTTGTCAGACAATATTGCCCCGACGGTGGTAGCCAACTTTGCCCCGATGTTAATAGCCCACACTGTCCCAAAATTGGCAGCCAACATGGGCTCAACGTTGGTGTAACCAACATAGTTATAACGTTAGCAGCCAACATTGTCCCGATATTGGTAGCCAACCTTGGCACGATGTTGGTAACTAACAGTGCCCCAATGTTGACAGCCAATGGCAGCCGACATTGTCCCGACGTTGGTGATCAACATTGCCCCGATGTTGGTAACTAACAGTGCATCAACGTTGGTAACCAACATTGCCTCGACATTGGCAGACAACATTGCCCCAATGTTGACAGCAGATACGGTCATTGAAAAACCATGGCTAGGTACATTGACATTTCGGAAATTTCAGATTTGATGAATACACTGCTTCCATTCGACAGCAAAAAGAAAGAAATTCTGATAATCAATGGAACAAAAGCTGAGAGAAGGAACTTCTTCACTTACCGGAGATAATAATGTAAACAAACGACGAAACCGTAAATATGGTAGAAGGGTAGAAACACCGGTATGATCTCTTGGTGTTCACCAAAAGCCGGTTCGTCGGTATTGTATTCAGGATGTTCGTTCTGCACTATATTAGCGATAATGTTCCTGAAAAAAATGTATTTATGACAAAAGTTAATGGGTTTGCTTCCCCATTCACCGATGGAGCTTCCACGAATGAGTTTCATTCGAACCTGTGAGTGAGTTCAACACCTTTAGGCAATCCAGTCGTTCCACTAGAATACGGTAGAACGACTGTGTCTTTTTTATCATCGATTCCAGTTTGCTCTCCAATCTTTTCGAACTCATCAATTCCATCAGCAATTAAATCCCTGAAGTTTATCGCACCTGTAGGAACTGGCTCGCTCCCACTTGCAACAACAATTGCTGGCAGACGAACAGAATTTTTACCTTTTATACTCTCTACAATTACTGGATAGTTTTTCTGAATTGTAATTACTGCAGCAGCTTCTGAATTTACAATCTGTATACTCATCTCATGGGCGGTATACGCAGGGTTTAATAATGTTACCTGAGAATGCGGCAGATCGTTGATATGAAATTAATAATGAATGATCGAGGAAATGGTAAGATTACCTTCACTCCAGCTTCACTCGCTCCCAAAGCAACAATGGCATACTCCGGAATATTAGGAAGAACGACTGCCAACGTATCCCCAGGTCTCAAATTATTTCGTCGTAAAGAAATTGCAAATCTTCCACACAGTCTCCTCAACTTCTTATACGAATACGATCTCCCTGATACCGCACACACCTGAAATAGCTTTTTTTGTACTGCTTCTCACGATTTCTCGTCTGGGAATTGGTATTACATACTTCCCAAACTCGAAAACTTGAAAATCACTACAGAAAAATATTGTTCCTGGGCTGTTGCGATGGGGTTTTTTACTCGTGTGGCGTTGGCCTCCGAGCCGCAGGCGAGGAGTGGCCAACCACACGAGGCCGGAAAAATACTATTTCGCCACAAGACCGCAAAAAAACTTTTCTGACGAGTGTGAAAGTTGCAGACCGAGGCGAAGCCGAGGAATCCAATCACACAAATCGGAAAAGTTGTGCGTAAATGCCTTTGACGGACACCAAGTGTCCGTCAAATTTCGTTTTACGGACAGTGTGATGAAAAAAAATTTTCTGACGAGTGTGAAGGTTGCAGACCGAGCCGAAGCCGAGGAATGCAATCACACGAGTCGGAAACTTGTTTTCGGCCGAGTGACGAACATAATTTTTCTTCACATTGTCCATAAACGGGGTTTGACGGAGACAAAGCGTCCGTAAAATGACGTTTTACGAGCAGTATGATGAAAAATTTATAATTACTTCTTTTCGAACTGAACGCAATTCTCAGTGAAGAAAAGTGGCGATGCCATTTTTTTCAAAAGTTTGTGTTACTCATCTCCCATGACCTCCTCTAATTTTATGAAATTGGAAAATAGGAAAAATTTGAATAACAAATTTAGTTTATAATTCAGTAACAAAACGGTAAAACGGTTGAAGTCGCAGTAGCTCTCGGCTGAGTTTTTGAGAAATATCTTCGAATCTGCGGGAGATAGCGAAATTTTTGTGATAACTTTTTCGTAGCTCTCAATTCGCTCTACAAAAGAGGTTCCAACAAAAATTTTGCTATCTACTTTAGATTCCGAGATATTCCGAGTAATGACCCTACTGAAGACCATCCATGTGAAGACCTTGAGCATGTTTTATAGGAATGCCCACGATATGCTCAAGCCAGTGATGCCAGATGAGGGGAAAAATCCCACGCGTGGGAATTTCGTGCGCAGCTCCCTCGCGCACTCCTCGGGTCCCCGCCACTACCGCACAGGCTCAACGCCCGTAAATAATACCCGATAAATTAAATTCCGNTCAAGCTCGAGAAAACATGTTCAATTCTCTCCAGATAAATAATTTTTTCCCTCCATACTCTATCCGAACGATTCTCAAAGAAATTGATCTCAAATATATCGTAATCGTCTCAAATTTTCTCGACGTCTGCAAACTAAAAATATAAACTTTCTGAATCATAACACAAAGATTAATGTAAGTACCTAGTGTTACACTCTACGTAATGATGCATAAATATATATATATATATATATATATATATATATATATATATNTTTCTCGACGTCTGCAAACTAAAAATATAAACTTTCTGAATCATAACACAAAGATTAATGTAAGTACCTAGTGTTACACTCTACGTAATGATGCATAAATATATATATATATATATATATATATATATATATATATTATTCTTCCTTTTTTTTTATGCTGTATAAACATGTAAAGATTTGAGCAAATAAATATAACAAAAAAAAAAAAGATATTCCAAGGTCGTTTTTCTCTCAGTGTAGAAAAACAAAAAATTCCAAACGTGATAAAATATTCTGCGATTAATCGAAGACTAGTATTCACGGAGATTTTTTTTCCGTGTGAAATGCTCGCTCAGCAAAAAAAAATTAATGGGCGTGATCAACAAATGTCACTCATATAGTTAAATGTCAATCAGATGAAAAGTATTAATCACACATATTTTGATACATACGAGAGCGGTTTTATTCCACCACCTATGCACATCTTTCCAAACGTACTGATGAATATAACCAGATGGAATTTCCACATCATCGAAGGGGCTCTTAAATACATTGTTGCGATCGACAATAGGCCCTGCGTGCAATGTTGTTTTGGCCATCAATCTTGGCTGAGAACTACTAAAGTTATTTTTAAACCGCAATTCACACGGATCACAATTTTTCGGGCTCAGCAATTGATGGGTGATTTTTTTTCTCCCAGGCACTTTAATTTTATGAAACGTAAAGAAACGTTGCATTTTGTGAATTATTGCGGCCTGTTCACGCAGCAACGGACAAGGGAGACTGAAGTACTCGCGAGACCGAAGGTTACGCGGACGAACGTCGTTACACGAAACTGAAACTGAGTTGCACAGATAAGAAAGAAATATAGAATGTCTTATCCTATTCTAGTGAAGGCAACAAAATCACGTGAGTTGGAGATGAATGGCCTGGTAAAAACAGAAACAATTATAAATAATTCATATTTTTCATGTCCCTTTCTCCAAAATTTACTTTATCTCCCTTTGATAATAGATTTCTTCCGTTGATAAAATCATTTACCTTACAACGACAGTCTAGAGGGACCTGAATTTCATGATCGAAAATTCATATTTAAAGATTTTTATTTTTCGTCACAGCGTGCTGAAATAGTATATTTCGTAAAGAGAGCAAAAAATGTTTTTTAGCTCGAGGGATTCTATCACTCGCCTTCGGCTCGAGATATTACCACGATTCGTTAATAGTTACACTTTTTTGCACTCTTTACGAAATATACTATTTCAGCTTTCCTGGAATTGAGAAACAATGCATCCTGGAGGATAACGCTGTAGTGCTTATTCCGGGGCCCACCGGGGCCCGTGGATGATAGAGTGGGGGAAGCGAAGGAGCGACGAAAAATCAACAGGAGGGGAAATGCGACTATAACGAGAGTCTAATGTAACGGAGATAAGTTGACTTAGATCTCCCACACTGATAGAACGGTTTAGTCGAACCAAACGAGACTTTTTAACTATTACCACGATTCGTTAATAGTTAACGAATGCAACAACTAACTGCATTAACTATTAACGAATCGCGGTAACAGTTAAGAAGCCTCGTTTGGTGCAACTGCATCGATCCACCTTTTCTATCAGTGCAGTTGAGTTTTTGAGGAATATTTCCGAATCTAAGGTAGATAGCGAAATTTTCGTAATTGTATATGTTGTAGTGCTCAATCGGCTCCACAAAAAAGGTTATAACAAAAATTTTGCTATCTCCCTTAGATTCCGAGATATTGATTAAAAACTGGACAATAGTAAAAATTGACTCATCTCCTTTTACCACCTCGCTACTGAATTCATCTCCTTTTCATTATAGAGATGGTACTCCAAAATGGATTGTTCAATTTCGTTCGGGTCTTTATCGTGAATTGTTAAAATTAAAAATTCACTTACCTAATGGAAAAAAATCATGTCCAGAATTTGGGGAAGAACCAATCTCATAAACTTTTAACGATTCTCAGCACAACTCCATTTCACATTTTCTTTTCACACACGTGCACGTGATTTGATATCATTTATTGAAATCTAATGTTAAGATGAATAAAATAATCACTGGTTATCACGATTCGGCGGAATACCTACAAATTATCATTATTATGTAATGTTTAATGGGTCCACGTGCTAATTTTACATGATATTAACATCGAGAGCTCATCTGTAAGTCACGACTGCAGATGTTCGGCTCAGTTACAGGTATTCCTTATTTCTCCTGCCTTCTTATACATTCATCGATAATAGTGTAGTAAAAGTAAAAATATATTCATCGATGATAGTGTAGTGTATGAAAAAAAAATTCAATTCCATCCATTCATTAGCGAACAACTGAAGAAAAACTTTGTTACATACGTACACACACACACACATAGGGACGAGTCTCAAAATGGCATTTTCCCACTTTTTCGATCATACTGAGCCGACGTAACACAAAAATCCAAAACTTAAACTTGAACGATTACAAAATTTCCATTCGGAAGCCATAAAAACTGAAAAATCAGATCATCTACTCAGACGCAAAATGAAGAAAAGTATAAAAATTCCCAAAAATTAATGTTTTAATTTACTCACCTCACCAATCCTCCTCAAATCCTCAAGTTCATCAATATTGACGTACAAAAATTGCGGTAATTCGAGATACAACGCCACATGACAATCCCTCTCCGTCAAATTCGGTATGTCCACGAAATAATAAATCGTCCTGCATTGAAAACGAACAAGATTGTCAAAAAAAAAAATCATTAAAAATAATTTTTCAATGTGGCTGTAACCTCTTACCTGTGAAATCCATCTCCATCGACGTGAAAATCCACTCGGGCATCGAGCAAATCCGAATTTATTGTATTAAAAACGAGAAATAACGCAAAAAGGTGAATTATTGAAGAAGAAATTTTGCTCTTCATTGAGCGCATCTTGACACGTTTGCAAGCCGCATGTAAACAGTGCGGGATCATCTGATGTGGTGAACCGACCGAGTGTATTGAAGCGAGAGTTCACGCGAGGATACACAGATGGTGCCGCAATGATACCTTCAAGTCGTTCCCATTGTCGAGGCAGCGCAACCAGCAAAACAAATGGGTAATAACATTGTGTATCAGTGGTTACTGTGGCAAGTGAATTGTTTTTTCTCCGAAAAATTGATGTAAATGATTCTACGCTCGTGTACCCAAGGTGAGCACATCATTAGTCCAATATTTCCATTGAAATGAGTGTAAAGATGGGATGTTTTATATTAGATATTAGAAAGTTAAAACTTCAGAATTAGAATTCACTTATATTAATTACGATAATTACTATATTGTAATGAATAATCGTGCATAAGCGTGGAAAGTTCCATGTCCCTACGCTCGCTCATTTGTCTCATGTTCGTTTGACACATGTCCCTATCCTCGTCTCGTGATTTAAGTGATATAGAAAGGTTATATCCGATCTAATTACATCGTGAGTATCCTATTTGAGGTAAAACAACATTAAAAAATCGTATCGTTTGTTCAGGAGGAATCGTGGCACAAAATTTTTGTCACAGACGTACGCACACACATACACACATCCACACATACAGACAGGTACCTGAAAAGGGTCAGAAGTGGTTCCAAAGGTCATGAAACGTGGAGAAATGCTTAAATTTCCACATTCGATTTTCGGGGTCATTACAATAACTTCCTCCCTTCGGGTCGGGAAGTTAAAAATATCTCGAGGTACAAAATTATATTTCAATTGGACAGTCCAACCTTTTAAATGATTTTTTCATCCGTTTAGTCCGTTACCAGTCGACAGTTGGTTGCAAAACGAGCATAGGATCAATGCCATTTCCATTGTACCTATTCTATTAATTGCCGACATTTCTGTGAAATATGAAGATATTACTATAATTTATACATTTTTATTGTTTTTTCAACCATCCGAAAGCTCAGTCAAGGGATTTTTAATCCCATTTTACTATTATAACGGAGATATCAGCATTTTAAAATTGTGAGTTTCTTAACTTGCGGCTTAAGAATTCACTCTGTCGCAGCACCAGTTGATGTGGATGGGATTTTTGTCTCTTATTCTTCAATAAATCACTGTTCATTGGTGTCTATAACTTTCCTTATTAACTAAAATAATAACTCCAATCGTATTTCACTCTTGATAGATTTTTGGGTCTGTGAAAATTATTAAATTGTGATGGCTCACGACATCTGAATGAGCATAGAGACGGGGACAAAATTGAAAGAGAAAATCGGGTTTTCATTATTACTGAAAGAATCATCAGTAATAGCAATTAAATCACGGCTTGAAAAGTATATTTCAATGCCTTCTTAATCAAGTTGAAAAATGGTGAGAACAGCTTCATTGCTTATCAAGTTACACAATACCATCACGAGCTTTTTATATAAAAATCTCTATCTCTATTCAACTAAGGTACCAGTCTATTATGTTGAATACTTATTCATATTGATTCGTGGTCCCAACTAACTTCTGACAGAACCTGGGTTAAACTCTGGCTAAATCCTGAATAAACCCTGACTAAATCCCGGCTATGCACTGATGAAACCTTGGTTGAACCTCGATTAAACCTGGACTGAAAACGGATTTGAGTCTTGAGAGGGTCTGAATGTAGAATTATTCGACAGAACGAAATAATTCGCAAAATTTTGATGTCAATTGGTAATAGAACTGACATGAAAAAATGGAAGAAGAGAATAGTAAAATAAGAATTTCAAGAAAAACCATTCGAAAGCAATTTGATAATTTAAAAAATGCCAATGTCCACTTGTTTCGTTAATAACAATTCAGCAAATTCAATTCTTCGGCAATTGGGCCATAAGAAATCAATAAAATAAATAAATTGAAATCCTTATATATTCTCCAAAAGTCTCAACAATTTGTTTCCTCATCAAAACTTTTTCGCGATTGAAAACTGAAATGAAAGCCGAGATCTTTCATCCTCAAGCCGTCCAAAAACTCCGAAAATGTCAAAATCATGTCCCTCCTTCCACTGAAACTCCTGTAAACCCGAAGAGTCGAGTTTTCCCGTGCATTAAAACGCGTTCGAAAAATGTCTAGACGACAGTATACAACCAATTCCGGATACCGAGGCACTTCATAACTTATATCAAGTTGAAGTTGACGGGAGTATCGCGGGGCTCGAGACGAAACTAAGGGGATAGACGAATTCATCCTGCCACTTTCTCCACCCTCTTTTTTAACTCCCAAACATCTCACGACATGCAAAAAAAGTGAGGAAAAACACGAGAATAAAATGAAATGCAGTTTCAAACATGAGTTTCATGCCCGAGTGAAGTTTTAACGTTCTCAGGAATAAAACACAAATAAAAATGGGGTCTGAGAAGTATTTTCTAACGACTGTGGAGAGAACTGTGAAAAATGGTGAATATTTTTCGCTGAATGATTCATCTTTTCAATGATTTTGATGGATTAATTGAAGCACTCAATCTATTCAGCGGATTTTATCGGAGAGAAGGGGGTGAAATGGGCGAAGAAATTGATGTGTGAATACTCAGCACGCGTGGGATTTTGGTGTTAACCATAAAAATACCTCAGGTGAATTATTAGGTTTCCAATTTGCTTTTTTTCGTGTCACATTCGATATTCCCTTTTTCAATTAATTGTTTATAATCATTCTCATTGCAAAAAGCAATACGACCGATGAGAATCATCTGTCCCAATTTATCAGCTGTTAAATTTCCATATTACAATAAATGATTTGCTCATGTTCTAATTCCTATGCTCACTGAATAAGATTTTAATCATCATTACCATTCGATTCCTTCTGGAACGCACTTTAGAGTGTGAATTTCTGGAATTCAGTGTTTGTTGATACTCTGGTAAAAGTGCGTGCCCACACTGTTATCAATTTTTAGTTGGTTCACACGGTAATTCAATTAATTTGTTGTTCATCTCATCAATATAATTCCATGCTTAGAATATTGTCATCTCGTGTTTTCAGCACCAAATTAAAAATTAAAACTTCATTTGGAATATTGAGTCACAGCTTCTTTTTATTCATATCAGAAATTTCGGATTTGGATATTAATATTATTTGTTCAAAGTGAAAAAATCGATCATCATTTTCACTATATTGCATTCAAATTCTCCTATCTTTAACGTAAAAAATGTGAGATAATCTCATAATTCTAGCTATTAATTCTAATCAACTTTGTTCGAAGAAAACCTTGGTAAACGCAATATTAAGAAAGTAGAATTATTCTATTTTCCTCTGACCTAAATGATTCGGACAGTTATGATTCGTTTATTCGCGTTTCATAGAATGGCATTTAATTCTCTTTTGTTTGTTAGGCGGCCTGATGGGGTTAATAAATTTATGCACTTCTTCATCCATGAATATCAACAAATTGGAAACAAAGCGTTAAGACTAAAATTGAAATTTAATAGAATCATTCCATCTTCTAATTAAATTAAAAATGAATGAATATTGGATAAATATAAGGAACTAATTTGCACCAATGACATATTCACACTGTGTCACGTTTGAAAGTATCACTTATGAGAATATAATAACTAATTCAATTAGGATAATTTCTTTTCATCAACTAATGAAGATAGGCAGTGAATCCACTCCCCGAAAAACTCGACCGAGAATAAAAAGTCCATTAGTTATGTTGACAGGTGTGACAGGTCCGAAATTACCAGGCATGTGAGTCTTACGTCTTGGCAACGGCCCCAAAACTCACTTCGATATTTGATGACTTTACTGAACGAATTGTTCTTGTTTTTCTCACCACTTTAGTTGATTTTATGAATAATCCCGGGACGATTATAAAATGTGGACTTTATGGCTTTCAAATTCGAAAATATTGTTACGAATATCGATCTCTTGGATGCATTCTTGAATGCATCACATTCAGTGAATTTAACTGTCAGTCAAGTGTAAATGGATTGAGAGAACTTAGAATAGATGTGATTCAAAATTCAAGTGAATGTTCTAGACCTCGAATAGAATGAAATGAAATATAAAAATAAATGTATAGTCCTGCAGTAAATTGTCATAAAAATTATAATATTCCTAGGGGGCTAAATTTTTAGCAAGGTCATGTCCACAGAAATTTCCAGGAATTTTGTCTTTGAAAATTCATAATTTTATGAAAAATTCAGTGGGAACTGTAAATTTCAGGTTAATTATTCCGGGAACATTGCGGAAAAATCAAGAAAATTTAGTGACTTCTCCGTGAATTCCAGATTTCTCGGAATTTTTAGGAAATGTTCTCACAAGTTCCGGGAATTTCAAGAATTTAAGGAATTTTTGAAAAACATCTTTGAATTCTTTCAAAAATTCAAGGGAATTTGGCAGTGAATTGAAGGAATTCCTTGAATTGAATTAAAGGAAGTGAAGAAATTCCTTCAAGTGAAGTGAAGGAATTTTGTGAATTCTTTGAAAATTCATGGGAATTGGGCAGAGAATATTCATCTTCACTAGAAAATTCACGTGAACTGTGCAATTTCCGTCTTTCTGCCGCTAAAAAATTGGGACTTTACTTGAATTTTCAGAGAAACTTGAAATTCCATTGACGCTTTCTCCTCAAATCGAATTTAAGTTTTTTTCCCGGAAAATTCAGTAAAAATTTTTCAACAGTGCAATTAAAAAACTTTCATAACTGAATACTATTTAAAGCCAGTAAAGATAATCAATCTCCCCCATATCGTCTACCAGCGTAAAAAATCATCCGAAGACATCCATAAGTGCAGAAGCTCCACCGGTTCCAAAGAAAGTCGAACCCTCGGGAAAATGTTAGAGTCGAAGTAACATATCCACTGAAATTTCCCGGAATTTTGTCATTGAAAATTCATCATTTTATGGAAAAATCAGTGGGAATCGTAAATTTCAGGTTAATTACTCCGGGAAAATTGAGGAAAAATCAAGAAAATTCAGAGAAACTTCTCCTTAAATTCCAGATTCCCCTGAATTTGCAGGAAATTCCTTAAAAAATTC